TCTCTCCGAAATTTTAAAGGCGCATAACTCGCTTCAAAGGAAAGCTAGAATTAGGAAAATTACACAGAGTTGTTTAAAGTTTTAAGGGCTTTCAGATGAAAAAACAATTCTTTCAAAAATTATTTTTTAGACTTCTCCTTGACGAAAATGCTCACTCCCAAATCTGCTCGAAAATCGGAGAAACTCCTTTACAAGTTGCGGCAAAGTCCTGTAACTTTGAAGCAGCGTCAATGATTCTGAAGCATTTATCAGAGATTTTGACGCCAGAGCAACTCAAAGAGCATGTCAATCATAGGACTAATGTGAGTGATTCTTTCTAAACTTTCTAATCACCATTCTGATTCAGGACGGATTCACGGCTCTCCACTATGCCGCAGAGATCGAACAACGACAGTTACACTTCCCTGGGGAAGACGCAAAGCTAGTAAATCTTCTGATTGACTACGGTGGAATGGTTGAAATGCCTTCTCTGAATGCGAACGAAACTGCAATGCATATGGCTGCGAGATCTGGAAACCAAGCGGTTTTACTTGCAATGGTCAATAAAATTGGAGCGGGAGCTGTGCAAATTGTGCAGAACAAGCAGAGCAAGAATGGATGGTCTCCGTTGTTGGAGGCGTGTGCCAGAGGACATTTACCAGTGGCGCAGACTTTGTTGAAGGTTTGTTTTTGGGAATTTTAGAGGTGCTTGAGACATTTTTGGCAATATAATAGCTTTCAATGCTTTTGCAAAACTATAGTACCCATCAGTTGATCCATATGGCTCTTCAGTGTTACTTTAATTGCTCTAATAGGCCCGAATCTTATACGTGCACTTTAAGATCAATTATCTCGGTTTTTGTAAAAGATATCAAAAAGTGGCCAACTAATAAAATATTTATCATAATATAGCAATATTTTACCAATTGACAACTTTTTGATATCTTTTACAGGGGCCCAGATAATTGAGCTCAAAGTTAAACGATTTTTTTTTCTGAAACCACGAATTCNAAAATTTACGTCATGAAAAAGATCTGGAAAAATTCAAAACAAATCTAAATTTAAAAAGTTCAAAAAAAACTAGGCCGCTACCCAGAAAAATTAGGTCGTGACCTAGAAAAAATTAGGTCGTGACCTAGAAAAAATTAGGTCGTGACCTAGTAAAAATTAGGTCGTGACCTAGAAAAATTAGGTCGTGACCTAGAAAAAATTAGCTCGTGACCTAGAAAAAATTAGGTCATTACCTAGAAAAAATTAGGTCATGACCTAGAAAAATTAGGTCGTGACCTAGAAAAAATTAGCTCGTGACCTAGAAAAAACTAGGTCATTACCTAGAAAAAACTAGGTCGTGACCTAGAAAAAATTAGGTCGTGACCTAGAAAAATTGGGTCATGACCTAGAAAAAATTAGGTCGTGACCTAGTAAAAATTAGGTCGTGACCTAGAAAAAATAGGTCATAACCTAGTAAAAATTAGGTCGTGACCTAGAAAAAATAGGTCATAACCTAGAAAAAATTGGCTTGTGACCTAGAAAAAACTAGTTCATTACCTAGAAAAAACTAGGTCGTGACCTAGAAAAAACTAGGTCGTGACCTAGAAAAATTGAGTCATGACCTAGGAAAAATTAGGTCATGACCTAGTAAAAATTAGGTCGTGACCTAGAAAAAATTAGATCATGACCTAGAAAAAATTAGCTCGTGACCTAGAAAAAACTAGGTCATTACCTAGAAAAAATTAGGTCATGACCTAGAAAAATTAGGTCGTGACCTAGAAAAAATTAGCTCGTGACCTAGAAAAAACTAGGTCATTACCTAGAAAAAACTAGGTCGTGACCTAGAAAAAATTAGGTCGTGACCTAGAAAAAATTAGGTCGTGACCTAGAAAAAATTAGGTCGTGACCTAGAAAAAATTAGGTCGTGACCTAGTAAAAATTAGGTCGTGACCTAGAAAAATTAGGTCGTGACCTAGAAAAAATTAGCTCGTGACCTAGAAAAAATTAGGTCATTACCTAGAAAAAATTAGGTCATGACCTAGAAAAATTAGGTCGTGACCTAGAAAAAATTAGCTCGTGACCTAGAAAAAACTAGTTCATTACCTAGAAAAAACTAGGTCGTGACCTAGAAAAAACTAGGTCGTGACCTAGAAAAATTGAGTCATGACCTAGGAAAAATTAGGTCATGACCTAGTAAAAATTAGGTCGTGACCTAGAAAAAATTAGATCATGACCTAGAAAAAATTAGCTCGTGACCTAGAAAAAACTAGGTCATTACCTAGAAAAAATTAGGTCATGACCTAGAAAAATTAGGTCGTGACCTAGAAAAAATTAGCTCGTGACCTAGAAAAAACTAGGTCATTACCTAGAAAAAACTAGGTCGTGACCTAGAAAAAATTAGGTCGTGACCTAGAAAAATTGGGTCATGACCTAGAAAAAATTAGGTCGTGACCTAGTAAAAATTAGGTCGTGACCTAGAAAAAATAGGTCATAACCTAGTAAAAATTAGGTCGTGACCTAGAAAAAATAGGTCATAACCTAGAAAAAATTGGCTTGTGACCTAGAAAAAACTAGGTCATTACCTAGAAAAAACTAGGTCGTGACCTAGAAAAATTGAGTCATGACCTAGGAAAAATTAGGTCATGACCTAGTAAAAATTAGGTCGTGACCTAGAAAAAATTAGATCATGACCTAGAAAAAATTAGGTCGTGACCTAGAAAAAATTAGATCATGACCTAGAAAAAATTAGGTCGTGACCTAGAAAAATCTAGTTGTGGTGGGCGGAGTCTAGCCGTGTTTATACTCATTTTGAAGCATTTTCGACGCTAAATGCGAATCTGTGATTAGTTTATATTAGAAGGCGATACTTTTTCAGATAATCCAAAAAACCTGATTTCGGATTCTGATATAGGATTTTTCTGAGTGCCTAATTTGCCTAAAGTCTCGATTTTTAACTTCTCGTTTTCAGCACCAGCTCGTATCGACGTATTCGACGAAATGGGACGAACCGCTCTTCATTTGGCAGCTTTCAATGGTCACTTATCGATAGTACATCTTCTATTACAACACAAAGCATTTGTGAACAGTAAATCAAAAACTGGAGAGGCTCCGTTACACTTGGCAGCACAACATGGGCATGTGAAAGTGGTAAATGTGTTGGTTCAGGATCATGGAGCATCGCTTGAAGCGATCACTTTGGATAATCAGGTACAACACAAAAAAAATCAATAAAATTCTTGAAATCATGATTTCAGACCGCGCTCCATTTCGCTGCTAAATTCGGTCAACTGGCAGTTTCTCAAACTCTTCTGGCTCTCGGAGCAAATCCGAATGCTCGAGATGATAAGGGACAGACCCCGTTGCATTTGGCAGCTGAAAATGATTTCCCGGATGTTGTTAAATTGTTCCTAAAAATGAGAAATAACAATCGGAGTGTGCTGACAGCTATAGATCATAATGGATTCACATGTGCGCATATTGCAGCGATGAAGGTGGGATTTTTGTTTGCCCTACTTGCATAACAGGCCAAGCTAGTTCAGTTATGATAGAACTTGACGAGTACTACAAAATGGTACTAGTTGGAATACTGTATCTTGTCTATGAACAAAGTTACAAGCCAAAAACTTCTGACCCGACTAAATCTGTCAAAAACAGTGCCATGGTGTGAAGCACAAAAACCTCTGCGGCTTCTGAAAAAATACTGATTCGTGTAATTTTCATAATTCTAGCTTTCCTTTGAAGCGAGTTATGCGTCTTTAAAGTTGGGAGAGACGCAGAGAAACGAGTGTGCTCTCGTTTCTCTGCGTCTCTCAAAAAGTTTAAAGTCGCATAAATCGGCTCAATAATATCAGATCTCATTGATTTCTAACTAGGTTTATAGGAAGTTTCAAGGGCTACAGGGTTAGTTAAGTTTCTTTTCAAAAGATTCAGGTGGTCTTAAAATTTTGGGCTCGTTTTCAAGTCGGATATTTTTAGCAGCAATTAGTGATTTCAGGGAAGTTTGGCAGTAGTCCGAGAATTGATGATGATTGACAAACCAATGGTTATTCAAGCCAAAACTAAGACCCTTGAAGCTACAACTCTTCATATGGCTGCAGCAGGTGGACATGCGAATATTGTGAAGATTCTTCTGGAAAATGGAGCAAATGCAGAGGATGAAAACTCGGTAAGAATTTGGCTTTTAAAAGGAGTGGTTGGAGTTTTTTTGGAGTCAGGGTATGCATTCTGACTTTTGACTGACAATATTTCTACAACTTAATTTTCAGCACGGAATGACTGCTCTTCATCTTGGCGCTAAAAACGGATTCATCTCAATTCTGGAGGCCTTCGATAAGATTCTCTGGAAACGATGCTCCAGAAAAACAGGACTCAATGCTCTCCACATTGCCGCTTTTTATGGAAACTCGGATTTTGTGAATGAGATGTTGAAACATGTTCAAGCCACTGTTCGATCGGAACCCCCAATTTATAATCATCATGTGAATAAGGAGTTCTCAACGGAATACGGATTCACACCGCTTCATTTGGCTGCTCAAAGTGGTCATGATAGTTTAGTGAGGATGTTGTTGAATCAGGGTGTGCAGGTGGATGCGACCAGTACCACAATGAACGTCATCCCACTTCATTTGGCTGCTCAACAAGGTCACATCGCAGTAGTAGGAATGCTTTTATCCCGATCTACACAACAACAGCATGCCAAGGATTGGAGAGGAAGGACGCCACTTCATCTAGCCGCTCAGAATGGACATTATGAGATGGTCTCGTTGTTGATAGCTCAGGGATCCAATATCAATGTAATGGATCAGAATGGTTGGACTGGTCTTCATTTCGCCACTCGAGCTGGTCATTTGAGTGTTGTCAAACTCTTCATCGACTCTTCCGCTGATCCTCTCGCAGAAACGAAAGAAGGGAAAGTTCCTCTCTGCTTTGCCGCTGCTCACAATCACATTGAATGCCTTCGCTTCCTTCTCAAACAGAAACACGATACGCATCAACTAATGGAAGATCGGAAGTTCATATTTGACCTGATGGTGTGCGGAAAAACCAATGATAATGAGCCCCTTCAGGAGTTCATTTTACAATCGCCTGCTCCGATTGAGACTGCTGTCAAGCTATCTGCTTTATATCGGGATATGTCGGAGAAGGAGAAGGAGAGGGCAAAGGATTTATTGAATGTCGCCGTGTTCAGTGAGAATATGGCTGTGGAATTGTTAGGAATCACGGCGACAGAGTACAATGCTGCACTTTTGTTGAAGGCGAAGGATAATCGGGGGAGACCCTTATTAGATGTGCTGATTGAAAATGAACAGGTGGGATTTTCGACTACATTACCTTCTAGCCGAAACTGTCGGAATCCGGCCGGGCCGTGCGGACATGTTTCCGGCAGCTTTGCTGCTCACAAATCAATCCCGTACTCTCTAGCCACCAAACTGAAGTCCGCCCATACGGTCAACTTTGAGCTCAATAATCTCGATTTCTGTGAAAGATATCAAAATTTTGTTAACTGATAAACTATTTATCATAATATTAACAATATTTGATTAGTTGAAAAATTTTTGATATCTTTTAAAAGAACCGAGATAAGTTGGCACAAAGATGCCGTATTTGCTCTTTGAGGAGCCCACCTAAATTGTCAACTTTTAGCTAATTCATCTCTATTCCTTTAAAAGATATCAAACCATTGTCAATTGATAAAATGTTCATCATAATACCACCAATATTTTATCAGTTAAAAACTTTTTGATTTCGCTCAAAGGAACCGAGATAACTGAGCTCAAAATTACCGGTTTGGGTGGGTTCCTATTACAGAATTCAAACTTTAAAAAAATTTAGAAAGAAGTGGTATCGTATGCATCTGTCCAACGCTATCTAACAGAAGTGTGGACCGCCCGTGTCGATTGGTCCTTCGGAAAATTTGTCGCATTTTCTCTATTCGTTCTGATGTGTCCCCCAGCATGGTTCTATTTCTCATTACCCTTGGATAGTCGAATCGGTCGAGCTCCAATTATCAAATTTGTGTGTCATATTGTCTCTCACGTCTACTTCACGATCCTGCTGACTATAGTGGTGCTCAATATAACGCATAAGATGTGAGTTTTGTATTAATGTAGGGGAGAAATATTCGAAAATGCAGGTACGAAGTAACATCAGTCGCTCCGAACCCTGTGGAATGGCTTTTGCTCCTTTGGCTCTCCGGAAATCTGGTCTCTGAATTGTCGACTGTCGGTGGAGGATCTGGTTTGGGAATTGTCAAAGTGCTCATTCTAGTGCTCTCAGCAATGGCCATAGCGGTTCATGTCCTGGCATTTCTACTCCCAGCGGTGTTTTTGACCCATTTGGATAACGACGAAAAATTACACTTTGCTAGGACAATGCTCTATTTGAAGAACCAACTTTTCGCATTCGCACTTCTTTTTGCATTTGTTGAGTACTTGGATTTTCTCACAGTGCATCATTTGTTTGGTCCATGGGCTATTATTATTCGGTAAGGAACTTTGGGTCTTTTTTTTAGTTGAATATTTTTCAGAGATTTGATGTACGATTTGGCTCGTTTCCTGGTGATTCTGCTGTTGTTCGTTGCTGGTTTCACACTACACGTCACAAGCATCTTCCAGGTAAGGGATACACATTTTTTTTTCAAATTGTTTGAATTCCCGCCAATTTCAGCCCGCGTACCAACCAGTCGATGAGGATAGTGCAGAACTAATGCGTCTTGCAAGTCCCGAACAAACGCTCGAAATGCTCTTCTTCTCACTTTTCGGACTCGTTGAGCCGGATAGTATGCCACCGCTTCATTTGGTTCCAGACTTTGCGAAAATTATTTTGAAACTACTTTTTGGAATTTACATGATGGTCACATTGATTGTTTTGATCAATTTGTTGATTGCTATGATGTCTGATACGTATCAGAGGATTCAAGCACAATCTGATAAGGAATGGAAGTTCGGAAGAGCGATTTTGATCCGGCAAATGAATAAGAGAAGTGCTACACCGTCGCCAATCAATATGTTGACCAAATTCTTGATTGTGGTTAGGGTCGCATGGAGGAATCGATGTAAGTTCTTGGTTTTTGTAAACTTAAAAACCTGTAGTGAGACAGCCCTAGACTCTCCAGTTTGAGCTCAATTATCTCGATTCCTATAAAAGTTATCAAAAATCTGTCAACCGTTAAATTATTAATCATGAAATGAACAATATTTTATCAGTTATTATATTTTTGGTATCTTTGACAAGAACCGAGAAAATTTGGCTTAAAGTGTAAAGCTATTGTACTCTAACAGAAGTCCAATGTAGCTTTTAACATTAAGCTCAATTATCTAGGTTCCTGTACAAGATATCAACATTTTTTCAACTCATAAAATGTTTCTAATATTACTGTGAACAATTTATCAGTTGACAATTTTTTTAATTCTTGGTCAGGAACCAAGATAATTGAGCTCAAAGTTGACGGTTTTGTACGCTTCTATTATACGGTACATGAAAAATGATTATACCAAGAATACCATCTTCTTGATAATGAGTAACTTCTAGACTGCTTAAATTTCAAATTTCCTTATTTTCAGTACGCTGCATGACAAGAAAAGCTCAAGATGATTTACGATTCGAAGAGAACATTGACGCATTTTCGATGGGTGGAGGACAACAAGGAAGGACTAGTCCGACGATGCGGCCTGATGAAGGAGCAGGTAAAATATGGGGAATTTCTGGAAAAAAAAACAAAAATTTGGAAAAGGCTACCAAAAAGCAAAATTGTGTTGAACCTCCGAAAAGTACCGTAACCATTCTGACGGTCAACTTTGAGCCAATTTATCTCAGTTTCTGTCAAAGATATTGAAAAGTGGTCAACTGACACAATGTTTTTGATATTGTGATAAACATTTTATCAGTGTACAACTTTTTTATTTCTCTTACAGAAAATGAGATATATGACACGGTGCGTAATTTACGAAATTTGATTTTTTTTTTCGGATTTGTGGACGCTTTTCGCGATACTGTGAAAAATTAGGTTTTTCAGCATTTAAAAATTCTCGGTCAAAATTTTTGATTTCAAAATAAGTAACAATTATGAAGGAGGCAAAAACACGAAATGAGCCTAAAAGCGTCAAATTTGGTTAAGAATTGAAGGAGAAGATACATTTTTTAGAAAATCAACTGAAAAATTCAATTTTTCGAGGTTTTTGGGGATCTATTAAAATACCGTCCATCATAAAATTTTCTAATTATGTAACTTTTGTGCAGAATTTCCTCGCAAACATTTTGATATACATTATTTTCGAATACGCTCAAAAATGAGGGAGGAGATAGGTTTTGAATCACTCAGATTCGCATCAGAGTACTGTAGATTTGGCTAAAATTTACTTTTTTTTTCCAAAATTCTTTGCTTATTTATTTGGCGTGGAATTAATTTTTTGCTTGGATTGGCGTGGAATGACCTATATAGGGAAGAGTTGAAGGAAACAGTGATGCCTAGACTCTCAAATCCATCACAACGTCGGTTCACGAACGAATTAATTTCTTTTGAACTTTTGGAATTTTGCTTTTTTATCGATGCACGAGAAACGCGTCAACAATCACCAGTTGTGCGCTATTCGTGAATTATTTTCCGTGTATGAGTTCAAAGTTGACACGTCGAAAAAGTTATCTATACGTCCCTGGAAATTGAGATTCCTCTGATAAGGATTTCTGGGCATCTGGCAAACTTGAATTTTGAAAATTTAAATTTATCAAAACCGGACCTTCAAAATAAGTCCAAACACGACCCATTTTGGTGGACTTTGAAATTTTTGGGGGCCATGTGCCTTTAAAGTCACAGTCCGAGATTTTTTGAGTTAAATCCCAATTTGGATGAGATACATGTATGTATGTAAAAAATTGGCACTGAAATAAAAGTTGTGCCACTTTAAAACTTCATATCTCGTTCAGTTGGACTTCTAAAAAATAGTTGTCAATTACAAAAATGAAGCTCTATTTTTGTTTAGTATACTCTGAAATTTCCAGGCAAATTAAAAAAAAACTTCTAGACTACTTTTGTAGGGCTTCAAAGTTGACTATTTTCCACTGAAAAAATCAAAACACCGCGTTTTTTCTCTTTTAGAAACTCGCTCAAACCGTCATCTTTGAGCTCTTATGTCTTCTTTTCTGTAAGAGATATCAAAAAGTGATAAGCTGATAAAATGTGTATCATAATTTTCTCTATATTTTGGGATATCTTTTACAGGAATTGAGATAATTGAGCTCAAAGTTGATGGTTTGAATAAGCTTCGAATAAAGAGAACACAGTATGTTAAATTTTTGTCATGTACTGTATTCCAAAACTTCTTCTACAAAACTAAAGCTTGGATTTTTATTATTTTCTCTAAACTTGAAAATTCTTTTTTCCAGAAATGGGCGGTCAACGAGCCGAACTCGGTCGATCAGCTGATTGGAATATCGAAACAGTAATAGATTGGCGAAAAATTGTATCCATGTACTATCAGGCAAATGGAAAAATGGATGATGGGCGGAATAAAGAGGATCTTGACCTGGCGAATGCTCTTCCAGCAGCTTTTAATTGAAAGTTTACTTTTTTTATTTCAAAATTAGTCCGAAAAACTAACCGGTGTATTTTTTAAAAATCTATCCCAACCTGTCTTTTCTTTCCCTTTTTATATATCACCGGTGATTTTTCCCTATTCCTATCCTACGGTTTTTTTCAAAATTCTGGCATTTTTTGTTCTGCATGGCTTTCATTTACCTCTATTAGAAGGGCCCTTCTATTAGTGGTTTTACAGTAACCCGATGTTTCTTTCAACCCATTATTTCCCTCTCTCTTTCTTGAATTTTCAAATTTGAATAAATTTTTTTCCCGTGAACTTTTGTTGAATAATTTTTTTGAGTTTTTTGGGTCGCCAGCCGGACAATCGTGGTCCTTGAATTTTGGAGCCAAAAAATTTGAATTTTTGAACTTCCCGCCACATCAGAACAATGTATTCAGATGAGCATTTATTCTATGATCCGGAATACGTTCATTATGAGAAAGTATCAAAAGGGGAAAAATGAGAAAATGAGAAACACGATTTGATGGGATACTGTGGTTTTTTGAAAATTTTGAAAAGTTCAAATTTTTTGAAATTCTGGAATTCAGAAACTCAGAAATTCAGAAATTCAGAAATTTTGAAAATTCTAAAAAATTTTTCAATATATTTCAATATTCAATATTTCAACTCAAATTTCGAATTTTTGAAATTGTTTGCACAATCGGCAACTTTTATGGTCCTTTTGGTAGTTTTTCTGGAATTTTCTGGAATTTTTTAAAGGTTGTGTTACAGTATGCTGAGCTGTTTGAGTACAATTATTGGAATCCGAAAAATAGAAATAGTAGGAGGATTAGAGAAAATGAGAAAATTGAAGAAGCATTGAAAACGGCGATGGAAATGGAAAAAGAAAAAGAAGATTTGGACATTTTCGATGAAACTAAGAATAAGGTTTTGAAAATTTGAGATTTTGAAAATTGGAATTTTTGAATTGTTTCAGACACGACAAGCCAGGAATCCCATAAAATCTCAAAAATTTCCAATCTTACGATCGACGAAGAATTCGAAAACTACAAAAGAAAATGGAAAATGCATATAAAGCAAATCGAGAAATTCTGAAAAAAGGAGTGGGAATTGAGCAAAGTGATATAGAGGCAGATATCAAGAGAAAGGCGTTGGAAAAGAGGTTTAAGGATTCAAAGGATAAGAAAATTAAAGATGATATGATGGAGAAAAAGAGGGAGCAGGAAGAACAGGAAAAGAGACGCAAAAAGAAAGCCAAAGAACCCGAATCCACAGCCCAGAAGACGAGACCACAGGGATGACCAAGAAGTGAGTTAAAAAGGAAAAAAAATGAACAAAAAACATTTGACCCAGGCAGGGCTCGAACCTGCAATCTTCTGATTAGAAGTCAGACGCCTTATCCATTAGGCCACAAGGCCACAACGGGGTGTGCACACCTTGGTCATTAAGAGTAGGTTATTAATGGTGTACT